CAACCTATCTCCAGCTCGAATTATCATCACAGCGACCCTCCCAACTGTATATCCATAGGTCTGCCAACAGCGACTTTCCGTACGAGTCTTCACGAGTCAAGGTCGAGAGACTTATGAACTTTTTGCTGCTTCCTATGTACCTCGAGAGTGTCCTATGGTTCGGCACTCTTGCGTGTCTCGATTCATGGCTCTATACGTTCACGATCCTTCCACTCAGACTCCTCAAATCGTTCTACATTCTGGTCAAATCTTGGTGCATTAACTTCATGAGTGAAGTGCACTTTGTCGCCAGTTTTGTGTACAACGGGACTGGAAGAATGTGGAGAAGACGAAGGAGCAGTCTTGTTCCAACCTCTTCACGTAAAGCCTCAGGTTCTGACGCGGGTGAAGGCAAAGCTGCTCATTCTATTGCAGCACACAATCGCAGGCAAGGGAAGCAGCATCAGAGGACAAAGTCGGTGCCATCGGCGTTGCTTCCTGATGACAAAGCGGACATGCTCAAGGGCCTGCTGATCATTTGCACATGCCTTATTCTTCTGAGGCTTGATGCCAGCCGGATGTACCATTGGATTCGTGGTCAGGCTGCCATCAAGCTATATGTCATCTACAACCTCCTGGAAGTCTGCGATCGGCTGTTCTCTGCAATAGGGCAAGATGTCCTCGAATGTTTGTTCTCCAAGGAGGCGCTCGAACGCAAGCCAGATGGCCACAGCAAAGTTCTACGGCCATTCTGGTTGTTCGTGCTGGCACTCGTTTACACAGTCATTCACTCTACAGCTCTGTTCTATCAAGTCATCACGCTCAACGTGGCTGTCAACTCATACTCGAACGCTCTCATCACGTTATTGTTGTCAAATCAGTTTGTGGAGATCAAATCCACCGTCTTCAAAAAATTTGAGAAGGAGAACCTTTTTCAACTGACTTGTGCTGATGTCGTCGAACGCTTCCAACTTTGGCACATGCTGGTCATTATTGCTTCCCGCAACATCGTGGAGACGGGAGGATTAAGCGCAGGATTGAACGCTTTTGTCAGAGCATCGAGTGCGGTGGCAGCGGCGCCTCCCCTGACTACGAATAGCAGCCTTCCTTTCATCAGCGCTCTTCCGCCGAAATCGGTGAGCTCGACCCTTCCAAAATCGTTCACTCTGTTACCAGCTGCAGTCAATACGATAACATCGTACGCTCCAGCTGTCAGTCAGGTGCTCGGTCCTTTTTTGGCCGTCCTAGGGTCTGAGATGTTGGTAGACTGGCTCAAACATGCTTATATCAACAAGTTTAACAACACCCGTCCTGCCATATACGACCGATTTCTGGATGTTTTGGCCAAGGACTATTACACAAACGCTTTCGGCGACCAGAACCTGACCAAGCGGTTGGGCTTGCCGGTCATCCCTTTGAGCTGTCTCTTGATTCGAGCCACAGTGCAAACATACCAGATGTTCATGGCCGCATGGGTTCCGTCGAGCTCGCCAAGCTCGTCAACAAGCCTGGCCAGCATCCACGAGCATTACTCTGCGGCCCGCTCAAACATGCCCATGACCACGAGCACGGCGATTTCCAAAACCGTCGACGACATTATCAGAGCCATTCCCGCGGCCATCACCAGCTCCAGCGTCGTCACACACATGACCACCATACTGTTATTCCTCCTGTTCTTCCTGATCCTCCTGGCCTGCAAGCTCGTGTTGGGCATGCTCCTCCTCGCCTTTGCGCGGTCCCGCTACCGGTCGATGAAGCTGCGTGAGAAGAACCCGATCTACCACGTCGACGGCGGCCGGCGCGTCGGGGGTTGGGGCGTCGTCGAAGTCGACGACGATAAACGCCGGTGGATCTACGAGGACGATCCGGCCGGGCTCAAGGCGCTGCGCGAGAGGGAGGAAAAGGACAAAAAGAACAAGGAAAGGGGGACCGGGGTCGAGAGCTTCGACAAAGTCAGACGGTACGAGATGGTGGCCAAGAGGATATGGTAATGAAAAGCTAGCTCTGATAAGGTCTCCTCCTAACCGGGTGACTGGCAGTCATTTCACTAGTGAGTCACCAAGTGAGCGGAGGAGGAGGAGGGTCCTAATTAATTGATGGGCCCCAAAGCACAAGCGATGTTCGTGCATACATACATGCATACTACTGTAGGTGGGTAGTCTAAGCCACTGTCTGTCTGTCCGTCCGTCCGTTTGTCTGGCCCTGAATCGGGATTGCAGATTGATGGTATCGGGACACCACAAAAACTTTATCATTCTTCGTCAAGTAAGGAAGAAGGACGACCATTCTTCTACATACATACACACATACTTTGTATGCGCGCGCGCAGGTTTTCTATCTTTTTTTTTTCTCTCTCTTTTCTTGGGCTCTTGTCTTGTCTTCTCGCACGTGCGTGCGTGTATGAGAGTAAGTAAGCAAGTAAGCAAGTGATTTGAGGTGTATCTCTTAGTTTGCGGGCATCAGCATCACCATCAACGCGTACATATACCAGCCACCCCTCGGACACAGTTCAAGATGAAAACCCCTGTGAGGAGGCGGGGCACGAAAGAGGGGGGTTCTCATGAGCTCGTCAAACGCGTCAAACACGACTTCTTAGCAACAGCGCTAATACCAGCACCGGCATCAGCACTTCCAGCACCACCAGCAACAGAAACATTCCAACAGATTCAAGCTAAGGGGCCGGTCTGGTCGCGACGACCTCGTGGACCGCCGCAGTCTCCTTGCCGCCGGCGGGGGTCTTCTCCTCCTTCATAAAGGGGAAGGCCAGGACCTCGCGGATGGTGTAATTGTCGGTGAGGAACATGACGAGCCTGTCGATGCCCATGCCCCAGCCGCCGGTGGGCGGAAGGCCGAACTCGAGCGAGGTGCAAAAGTTCTCGTCGATCATCTGGGCCTCGTCGTCGCCCTGGGCCTTTTGGCGGGCCTGCTCCTCGAAGCGCAGCCGCTGCTCGAACGGGTCGTTCAACTCGGTGTACGCGTTGACAATCTCCTTCTTGCACACAAACGCCTCGAAGCGCTCGCAGATGCCCGGCGACGAGCGGTGGTACTTGGCCAGCGGCGACATGATCTGCGGGTGGCCCATGATGAAGGTCGGGTCGATGCACTTCTCCTCGATGAACTCGCCGACCAGCTTGTCGAGCATGCGCGCATTGGTCTCGGGGGGCGGGCACGTCACGTTGCACTTCTTGAGGACGCGCTTGAGGAATTCGTTGGTCTCGGCCGTGTGGAGTTGGTCGCCCGGCGGAAACTTTTCGCCCGTGGCTTCCTCGAGGGCCGGGATCATGTCGATGCGCTTCCACGGCCGGGACCAGTTGACTTCGTAGACCTCTCCATTCTGTGTGTGGAAGGTCGTTTGGTGGCCTCCAGTGACTTCCTTGACGAGCCCCGAGACGAGTTCCTCGGTGCGGTCCATCACATCGTAGACGTCGGCGTACGCCTCGTAGAATTCGCACGTGGTAAACTCCGGGTTGTGCGTCAGGTCGGCGCCTTCGTTGCGGAATTGCTTCCCCAGCTCATATACTCGGTCGATACCTCCCACGACCAGCATCTTGAGGTACAGCTCCGGTGCGATACGCATAAACATGTCCGTCTGGTACTCGTTGATGTGTGTCTTGAACGGCTTGGCCGTGGCACCCCCAGCAATGGAGTTCATCATAGGCGTTTCCACTTCGACGAACCCATTGGAGTCGAAGTAGCGACGCACGTACGAGACGATCTTGGCACGGGTGAGGAGGATGTTGCGCGACTTCTCATTCATGATGAGGTCGAGGTAGCGCTGGCGGAAGCGGGTTTCGACATCCTGGAGACCGAAATGTTCCGAGGGGATCTGGTGCAGGCAGGGTGTGAGGAGGATGACTTGACGAGCAAACACGGAGAGTTCGCCCTCGTTGGGACGGTTCTTGGGTGACGTCCGTCCGGGGTATCCGATGACGCCGATGATGTCCCCTCTCCGTAAGTGCTCGTGCTGGGCCTCGAAGGAGACGTCGCCGGCGGCTTCTTGGGCCTGACACATTATCTGGACCTTGGTGCCGCCGCTCCTGATGTCGTAGAAGACCAGCTTGGCCCCTGCGGATCGCTTGACGTAGACTCTCCCCGCGACACGTATCTCCACCTCTTTCTTCTGCTCGCCGGGCTTGAGGGAGGCATATTCCTCGACAAACTTGCCCAGGTCCGTGTTGACCAGGAACTTGTGAGGGTACGGGTTGGGGTCCTTGGTCTCCCGCAGCCGGTTGATGCGACCACTTCTGATTTCAAAGTACTGGTTCGGGTTGAGATTGCTCTCGTCGAGTTCTGCCTTCATGGCTTTCTTTTCGACTTGGAGCGGGGCAGCGGCGGCCTTTTCCTTCTTCTTCTCTTCCAGTTGTCTTTGCTTCTGTCTCTTCTTCAACTCGGACTTGGAGACCCTCTCACCGGTGACCTCGTCGAGGTGCAGGTTGGCGGTGTCTTGGGTAACAGACTCGGTTGCGTCTGCCATGATGAAGAGTTCAACGAGGTTTTGGGGGATCAGTGATTGGGGATTTATACCTGTCGAGACGAGCGCAATTGAAATCCTGGATCAAAAGTGTCACAAATAAAACATGCTGAAAAATGACTCACTTAGTGTGGGGTCGTGTGCCTTAATGACTCGTACCGTTGATGATGACGAGGGGCAACGAGAGAGCCAAAGAGGGACAATAATAATAATAATACGCGAATCCCTCCTACGAGAACCGAGTGGTCTTTGACTCTTAGCTTCGTCTCACAAGCACTTAGCCCACAAACAGTCAAGGTTGTGCGTTTGTAATACGAGTATGTACAGGACTTCTAGTATACTTGGTTGTTCTAGGAGCTCCTGTTAGGTGGGAAGAAAGAGAGTCACACTTTAAGCCATCATCAATGCATTGAGCTCAGCGGCTCCTCTCCCCGGAAGACGCAGCCAGCTTCAGCACTGGAAAGACACGCACGACTTGTCTTGCACTTTATATAGTACAGTCCTGAACATCTCCGATGACCCTACCCTCCCCAATACCAACGTGTCTACCTCAAAGCAATTTCAATGCTGTAGACACGCACAAACTCCAGAGTCCACCTTGCATCAACCAAAAGAGACTTCCGGACAACCTGCCCTTGCCATCCTTCTTCGTGCCCTTGACATAGCCGATCGCGTAGACGATCCGAAACGCCAGCCAGGCAGCCCCCAATGCGGCCGTGGCCGTGGGATACTCCAAGCCCGCGAACAACATGTAGGCGATTGTCTGGGGCATGTTCTCGAGCAGATTGGCGTGCGCTCTCTGGGCGCAGTTGAATTTGTACGCGGCTTGGCTCTCTTTGACCTTCTCTGCCGACGCGTAGGCGTTTGGGTAAGGCACGCCAGCCGGCTTGCGCAGGAAGGTCACCGCCATGCCTTGGGCGTAGCAGAGGACTGGGATCGCCCCTAGAGCGATGAGGACGACATAGCTTTTGCGAGGAGAGGTCCTGTCAGCTTGCCCCTCCGAAACCCGCAAAAAAAAAAGCCGAGGGAAGCTCTTTGAACTCACCCGTATCGGTCGGGAACAGTGAGAGTGGCCACCATTTTTGCTTTGCCCTGTTGTTCTTTCAACGCGTCGCAATCAAAACTGTGCCAGGAAAGTCGATTCAATCAACGGGGTTTCAACCGTGTGAAGAATGGCTCACAGGTCTTAAAAAAGATGTCAGCTTGTTCCTATTAATATTAAGGCAACAGTCAAAATCCGACAGGAGCTTCCCTTGTCGGGTATTTGTATCCTTCCGAGGTGAAAGCCGGACCAACATTCATCCGCCAAGGCTCAGAACTTGCCACCTTGTTCGTTTGGTTTCTGGCAACGAGACCGTCTCAGGGACGTCAAATGGGACGGATAGACAGCCATTAATATCTGTCCCGTTCTGATGGGGGTTTTTGACAATCGCGTTCCATAGGCAAAGAAGCCTTACCTACCTAATGTACACAGTAGTAGGTGCTGACGAAGTAGTTCAGGCCCACAGGCTGCCTTGCTGCCCAGACCCACATTGCTCGCGAGCGACTCTGCCGTGGCTCGAGATCTGTGTTTCCATACTTGCAGACGCTTTAGGAGACGAGAGGAGAACAAGCAGAGAGGAGGACAGACGTCAAGAATGTTTATATAACCTTTGGGTACGCCTGATTTGGTTTGACCGGCCGTGACGGCTTCTATTACCTCAGCTTCAGGCGGATTGCGTGACGGGAGAATGAGGACCAATCATGCGGGAGGAGATCAAATGCCTGAACCACTCGTACATTACTCCACGTTTGAAACCCATCATGCTATCATAACGCCCTTTGGCCTGTTGGAGCATTCCTAATAACACAATCTGGTTCTTTTCTCTATGGCCTGCTCCTCCCGCAAAAAAACATCTGCTTCTGCACCGTCCTCTATTCGTCCTGAATGTCCTGCCTGATCAAAATCGAAACGAGACTACATGATGACCTCGTTGGCAACATCACGCTTCAACTCCTTGTATGGCAGGCAGATGCAGTTTTGAACCCGAACTTCATCTCCCACACCACATTCCTTGCCAAGAATAGTGATGCTCTGGACTTTGACCCCGTTCTTGATGATGGTGGTGCTGTGGTTGGTGACTGGCGTGGCCGTGCCCTCCACTCTAGCCCAAGCTCCGACACGACTGTTCCATCCGATGATTGCATAGAGAACACAGGCATCGTGCTTGATTTCGGCCTCGTCGAGGACAATGGCCTCTTTGACACGTGCGCCTGCGCCAATGATGGCCTTGGGACCGATGGAGACATTTGGCCCCAACTTCGCCGTGGGATCTACCTGGGCGGTGGGGTGGATGAAGACTGGAGGTACAATGGTGGCGGATGGGGTGGCAATCTCTTCTGACTGAGACTGGAAAGCTTTCTGCAGGTATAGGGCATTGGCCGGGACTGCAGAACCAGCCGTCTTGATCTGACGCCAGAAATCCTTGGTTTCGTGGACGAAAAAGCGGTTGCTGTCGGCTAGATCAGGTAGAATGTCCTGCTCAAGACGCATGACCTCGTTTTTCTCTCCATCTTCATCGGGGTCGGCCATGAAGGACGAGTCGAGGTTCTCTGAGGAAGGGTATGAGATCATCCGGGGGCGTTCGGTCTTACGCTTGATGGCACTCTTGATGGAAGGGAAGATGGCATCGGTGGCGAAGAGGTATACACCACAGTTGATCAGGTTGGAAATGTGGCTCTCTGGCTTTTCAACGTAGTGAAGGACTCGCTTTGTGTGAGCATCGGAGACAATGCAGCCAAAATTGGTGGCGGCGTCGTTGCTGATCCGAGTGCCAAGAATGACTGCCTCAGCGTCCTTCTCTTCGAAGAGTTTCAACATGGCCTCGAGGGGAAAGGAGCAGCAGACATCCGAATTCAGCACAAAGAATCTGTCGGGCTTGCCCTTCAAGATAGCATCACGGAAGTGGTACAGACCACCAGCAGTGCCGAGGGCCTGGTACTCGCGCAGATACTGAATCTTGAACTGAGGGAATTCTCTCGACGAGTCTTTGATGAAGTCACGAAAGACATTTTCTTCGTAGTAACCAATGAGAATGACCTCTTTGATATCTGGGACTTTGGAGACAGCCTTCAGACAGTGCCAGATGATCGGGTGGCCCGCAACATCGAAGAGAGGCTACAGGTGATTTTCGTCAGTTCACAGTTGAGTCTCAGACTGAACCAGGACCTACCTTTGGGACATCAAGACTCAGTGGTCTGAAACGTGTTCCTCGCGAAGGACCTCCAACCTGTTTTACGTTCAGTCGAGTTTCTTCTGTCAAGTCGAATTCGCTGATCTTACCAAAATCACGGCTTTGGTAACAGCCTGGGCCCCAGTAGGCTTCTGACGAGAGGGGACTCTCAGCATCTTCGGCCGGTGACAGAGAACAGTATGAGATCGAAACCGCAGCAATGAACAGTCCTCTGAACAAGAAGACAAGTGACCAGAAGATATGTCAATGTTCAACGTTTCAATGTCGTTGGTCGTTGGAGTCGAGGGGCAGAATGAACGACAGCTGAGGCCACGGGGTCAGTTTTTTGGCTTTTCACCGCCATGGAGTTGCAGACCTCTGATTGGTCAAGGCCTTTAGGCTCACTAGCCGCGTCTGGCTGCGTCCTTCACTCACTCATTCCACTTTCAACCCCCTGAACACACGCACACACGCTTCTCGATGGTACAATAAAGGCGGTGAAGGTGCTGGAGGCGCATGAGGCGTTGAAGATTGTTCTAGCCCCGTGTCTCTTTTACCTCGGAATGCTTCATGTACGCCAGCCCTCTGGGCACGTGGATCAATTAAAATTCAACCATTTTTTTTTTACTTGGTACAGGCCATAGCCTCGACACTGCAATCCCCCCTTCCATTGTCTTCATCCGAGTACCTCGTACTCGACAAGTACCTGCAATAGCATCGTACAGATCGTTCCCACCCGCCCCAATATGAGTGTCCGTGTCGCCTTCACACACGCTCGTTCTTAATGTCTTCCTCTGTCAACTCTCGGTGGACACCAGTTTGAGCCACACCACCGGTCAAGGCTGCTGTTCCAACCTCCTTCAAAAACCCGAGGCTCGAGGTTTCCTTCTTCCAATACACAATGTACTTGCTCTTGATCTCGATCAGACTCATGCGCGGATCTTTCCATGTCCCGTCGTGGACACCGTCCTTCAAGTCCCCGAACCAAGCGCTGACTGTTGAGCTGTAGAGCTCCTTGATCCTCGGATCGTCGTTGCTGGCTGTCGTCGCTGTGCCACTGATGGAGATCCAGTCCTGGGTCTTGCTGTCTTGGATAGTAATCTGCACCTCCTTGTTCTTGTCCAGGTCTTGGAATTTCTGCGAGTCTTTGTTTGCGAGGTACAGGATATCCGGCCCGGAGCGTTTGGCCACAGCCATCGACCGGCCAACGGGGCCAACTCCCTCGCGGTACGTGTTTAACATGCTCGTCTGTTTACCGTCAATGAGCTCGTAGAGTTCTTTCCACTGGTCGGCTTTAGGAGTCTGATCGTCATATTGTTTTGCAACCGAGGGATCGACCCCAGATTGGACTTCTTTGGGGTCTAGTGCTTCGGGCATCTTGAGTCGTGCTGTTGCGCTGATGTGTCGAACCTGAGGCTGAAGCACAGAAAGGCACCTCAATGCAAAGGAAGGAGGCAGGTATTTCGAGATTTGGGATGTTGAGAGTAACCGGCATGCACTCAAAGCTGGAGGCATTGCAGATGCACAGACGTTCAGGATCACCAGGCATGTTTATTTCAATTGCTTATCCATGAAATCATCATGACTTACCTCAACCATGTCATCGATGTGCTTCTAGTGGTTCTGCAGCCGATGCCGACTCCATTCCGGTCCACCCCTGACCAACGAAACGGGCCTCTCCACGCCGTTTCCCAACCGTCAACGCTGCTTCAACATGCATCATGGTAGTGGGCTTCTGATCGGTTTCTCAGTGGATGGCTGAATCAAGAGGGGGGGAAGTGGTGACGACAGCAAAGCATCAGGCTGAGATCATGAAGTTTGCCAAGTCTCGAGGGTCGGGCTTTCGGGCTAGTCACGATCCGGCTGTTGGGAAACACTTGGGACTCGTACTAGACCAAGAACGATATCAGAGATCCATAGAGAATGAAATGAACAGGAGCATTCAGGTGAAATATGTCGCGGCTCTGGTACTATTTTGGAAGGACAAGGTAATTTTGTGACTACGTGTAACCTATATATGACCTTGAAAACCATTGAAAATGTTTCATTTAACTCAATGCTTTTCTGCAGAAGACCAAATGATAATCACGCGATTTGTATGTATCCAAGCATATACATATCCGGCACCCACTGACTGCCAGGGGGGCCGTCCTCCCCCAGCATTTTTTGAGTGATAGCCTTACCGACCGCCAATCTGCTTCTTTGACACGGGAGGGATCCAGCAGAGTACGACGTTGATGGTGATGGTGACGACGCCGATGATCCAAAACGACTTTCCATAGTCGGTCTTTTCATAGCGAAAGACGATGGCGAAGATGATGCCACCAAGATTTCCCATGGCGCCGGTCATTCCAGACACGACGCCATTTGCGTGAGGACTGACGTGTGGCACTAGAGCAAAGTTGGCTCCGTTGCCCGCTTCCAAGAAGAAAGCCATGCCGGCGATGAGACCGAACATTGTTTTTGTATCGTGGGGATCAAGGATCCCAATCACAATGAGAAACACGCCGGTGATGATCCCAAGAGCATGAATCCAGATCTTCTTCACCCAAACGTTGGGAGAGCGCTTGAAAAGGAGGTCCGCAAAAATCCCTCCACTGGGGCGATAGACGACATTTAGCAAGCCGAACATAGCGGCCCATTGCCCAGATGTGGTCTGCCCAAGCTGCTTGAAGTTTTTCTGGTAATACGTTCCAAGGATCGAGTTGATTGCCAGTTCGCCGCCAAACGAGCAGAAGTAGCAGAGGGCGAGGACAAGGGTCTGAGGAGCGAACATGGCTTTAACAACTTCCTTGGGTGTAGGCTTCACAACAACCTCGCCACGAGCTGTGTCGATCATTTGCTGTTCGGTCATTTGAGCTTCGTGGT